ACAGTGCTGCTGAGTTCAGCTCCCTGTCTGGCAGGCTTGGGTTATAATTTTTGCACAAGTTCTCAAAGCCCAACTCATACTATGAAATGGAGAGAAAAAGAAGAAAGGACAGAGGGAAGGAGAGAGGAGTGAAGGAGGAGGAGGAGAAGGGGATTGAGGTAGAAAAGGGCCCAGTAGTGCTGATTTAATTCAAATAATGAGTATGTAAGATGGGGAAATAGCTCAGTGATGGCGTGGTCTCCTAGTTTACCAAGGCACTGAGTTTACCCTAGCACTGAAAAAAAAAAAAAAAAAAAACCAACAGAACCCTCACAAAGCAACAAAAACATGGGCTGGAAGGATGGCTCAGCGGTAAAAACACTTGCTGTACAAGCATGAGGACCTGAGTTCAAATCCCCAGCACCCACATAATGCTGTGCCTCTAACGACAGAGCTGGCAGGGAACGGGGAGGGACGGAGGGAGCGGAGGGCCTCTTGAACTTCTGGTCACCAGTCTAGCTCTGGATTCAGTGAGGGACCCTGTGTCAAGGCAGTAAGATGGAAAATAATAGAGCAAGACACCCCGTGTCTTCCTCAGGCAAACACATGTGCACTAAATACTGAACTACACAACCCTCATAAGACCATGTAACTCAATGTAGGCTTTCCCTCCCTCCCCCACCAGTCTAGAATCTTTTAAGAATAAAAGAGGATGCTTTAAATATTTATGTCAGGACAACAAGTGTATTCATTGCTTTTGTGGCGAGGGCAAAGTTCCTGACAAGAGCAGTTTGAGGGAAGGTTTTCTCTTGGCTCGGTTGTGGTGGAGAATGGCAGGAGGAGCGCAGGCAGCAAGCTACACAGGGAGGGGAATGCTGCTGCTCCCGGGTTTCTCCTTTGTATTGATCCTGGACCCTAACCCAGCAGACGGTGCCATCCACATTGAAAGTTAAACCTCTTTGGAAATACTTTTACAGAAACACTCAGAGGTACGTTTCCATGGTGATTCTGCATTCATTCAGAGAAGTTGCAATCAACCTGGCCATTACAGCAGGATCAGAGCAAAACTGTCATAGGAAGGTAACATTACTTTAACTGCAGCAGACAAAGGCCATCAAGTGGAGGGCTGTGCCAGTTGAGCCCTGGTCCCTACCAATTAAATGTCTCTGCTCTCTGGGCACAGCAAGGGGAAGATACTCAAGGTTCATACCTTGGCTACACTAGAGGATGACCAGTGGGTGGAATGAGGACATATTGAAAGACAAGTCTCACTTTTGCACATCAACCCAAACTCTGCTCTTCCCGTACTTCTCCCCCCACCTTGCACTGCCATGTCTACAGTGTTCATACTGTGCCTCCCGCCCACGGCAGCAAACTCTCCCAGCTCCTCAAATTTAGTCAAAGCTCCCCAGAGTCCTGTGTCATTTGCCTCAGCCTGCTCAGGTTTCTGTAGCATCTCTGGTCTCCACTCAGGCTTTCTTTGGGGGTGTGGCTCCTGTCTTCCCTTCTGGAAAAGGGATTTTGGTAGGGTCTTGTTTGTTTCCTGGCTTCCACTACCTAGCCCTCAGCAGTACTGACCCAAAGGCCCCAGCTGTTGTCTCTGCCAGGTTGACTGCCTCCCTCCAACACAGAGCCCTCTCCCCTCCCAAAGTGCTCCTGGTATCAGTCACTCTGGAAGCCAAGGAGCTTCTCACGCAAACGCTTATAAACTTTGACCTCAGATTGAGTGTTTAGCCCAAGGCCTCCAAATCTTCTGCCTGTCAAATAGCAGCAAATTAGTGAAGTCCATTCCTTCCATTGTGGAGCTTCCTCAGATGAGTCTTGGTGATAGTGAGTGAAAGGTCCCCAAGACCCTAGTGCACAGGGGCTGGGGAGGTGAAGGCTTTGGCTTAGAGCCTTAGCTTGTCACCCTGGGGCTTCCCTTAGCAGGAAGAGCTATTGCCTGGAAGCAAGATGCCAGTCTTAGGCTCTGATTTCATCTGCCACCAGCTCACTGGGCTTTTTCTTTCTGGCATTAGTCTCTCCAGCTGAGAAGTAAGAGAGGGACTAGATTTATTAACTAATAAAGTTTTTGGAATCAAAAGCCTGGTAGAGAACATAAGCAAAACAGTGGGGCTTCCTGCATTCCTGGCTGTACGCCCCAAAACAAGATCCTCCAGCCATTAGGAGCTTCCATGGCCCTCTGGAGCCTTAGTGTTCATGGGGATAATGGAGTAGGAAGAAGAGGGTGATTGTGGAGCAGCTGAGCGATCTACAAGTGTTTTGCTCCCACTTCCTGGCCAGGATTTATTTCTACACAAGCTCTTTCAATTCTGTGGTTCTTGCTCCAAAGTGGGTACCATAAAGTCTGAGTCAGAGACACAGTGACTGGAATGATGACTGTAGAGAGACCAAGAAGGACCACCTTACCGCCTGTGTGTCCTGCTTGTTCTGTTACTCAGTTTCTCTCTCTTTCTCTCTATCTCCCCCTTCCCCTTTCCCCTTGCTGTATCTGCTGTGTAATCCTGGCTGGTCCATTGTTATTATGTAGCTCAGGCTGATCTTGAACTTATGAAGATCCTCTTGCTTCATTTTAGCAAGTTATTAGAGTTCTAGTTACATAGCACTATGCCTAACACTTGTTGCCTAATTTTTATCATTACATGGTTGGGGAGCAATACCACCGTTGCCATGAGCCCTACTTATCATGGAGTTTTGGCATTCATTTCTACCTCACAAGCACTTGTGCATCTGATTAATTTTCCATCTGCAGATCTTCTGCATTGGGGTATAGAGGAAGAAGAGGCAGATGGAATGAAGGTCACAGCCACAGGGTTAGACGTCCTGAGAATGGCTGTGAAGAAGTGCTAGAACCTACAGCAGGTGAAATCTGGCCTGCTGTGGGAAGGCTACAGGAAGGCACTCAGGGAAAAAAGGCCATGTTTCACTAAAGACTCAAAGCTTGGGACTACTAGAAGCCTAAATGGGCAGACCGGATAGATTCTGCAAGAGACTCTAATTTCTCTCTTCAGGTGCTCAAGGGATGTCAGCAAAAGTGGTGACAGAAGGGTTTGCACAATTCTGGGAAGCACAGTGGGGAAGAAGGAGTTGAAAGAGTCAAAAAGCAAAAGGGAATCCATTCTCTAGGGAGCAATGATAGGGGCCTGCATGAGAGTGTGGCAATGGGGCTACACAGATGTCAAAATGGACAGAGAAGTGTTCTTGCCTTTCAGTCTGTTTCCAGCACAGGAGCCTGAGTGATCTTGCTCAGGTCACACAACACCCACACTGCAGACTCTCCTCCTCCTTGGTGGGGTGCTTCTTGAGGAGGTGCAAGTGTCGAGAGACCCCCCCTCCTTCCCACAGCCTCTACACACAACCAGTAGCTCTAAGAACACTGTCTTTGAGGTGGGCTCTCTATGAGACACGTCCTCCAGGGAGATACCTGGGAGGCTTCATTCTTCACTCGCACTTTCACCTCTGTGCAGCATCATCGCAGGGAGCCACCTCATCATTTAATCTTTCTGCTGCCCTTTTTGTACTAGACCAGCCTGGGTCTTGCTGCTTATCACCTGTTACCCCCCGGCAGAGGGTAAGCGCTGTCAAAGGAGCATTGTTAGTTTTGTTCACCTCTGTACCGATCACCAGCGCATAGTAGGCACTTGGTGAATATTTGGGCAATGCATAAGGGTGGCATGTGACTAGAGCGGGAGGGGCGGGGGTGGATGAGTTTTTTTTGTTTTTGTTTTTTCCCCTGGCCTTGGTCACAGAGCAATGGCAGTGTTGTTTCTTGTCTTGGGAGCTCACAGGGAGGGCAGGTGAAGATGTTAGCTAGGGACAGGTTGAGTTGAGTTAGCTGCTCTCCTTAGACTAATTTTATTTTGGGAGCCGTCTTCGGAGCCAGAGAGCACCTGCAAAAGAGCCAGCTAGGCGTGCCGGGTGGTGCTGCATGTCCTGCCACTAAAAATGTGAACACACGCTGTCAGGCCTTTGCTCTCAGGCAGAAGCCAAGTGTCGCACGCAAACCTGGCCCTTTGCTCTGCCTGCGCTGTCTAGTCGCGCCCTTGCAAAGCTTAGACTACTATTTCTCAAACCTCACCCCAATGCCCCGTGAGAGACTGGCCCTTTAAGAGCCTCACCCATGCTCCCCTCCCCCTGCTAGCGTGACAGCACTAGGACCCGCGCCCGGTTGTGACCTGGGTAGCTGGGTGGCTGCAAGGGCCTCCAGGCCTTCTCACGCAACTCAACTCCCGGGCACCTCGCCCCCAGCCAGGTGGGGCGGGGACAAGCAGACTGACCTCTGCCCCCGGAGGATGGAGCAGGCTCACACACGCTAGCCCCAGGAGCCTGCGTGCATGCCCTTTGGTGGCCCCTGACCCCCTCCCGCTGTCTCATGTGGATTCTCTCTCCAGCCTCTCCTACACCATCCGCAGCTAGCTCCGTAGCTGCCCGCAGCCTAACATCTCTAAGTTGCCTGCTTCAGTATGCAAAAACACTCCCGGGAGCCTAGAGGGAGCTACAGAGGGACCTGCCAGGCTTGTAGCTTGCCTAAGATGACCCTAGAGTGCGACCTGCAAGCTTGCCATCCACCCCCACCAATCTATGGGGAATAGAGTCAGTCCAATGGCGCCACTGGCCTTCCTGTCCGTGACCTCGGGGCTGGGGTCGCGGCGCTTCTCACGCGAGCTCAGACTTAGTAACCCAGGGAAGGAAAGTCACCACCCACTGCTCTCCCTCTACCAGCCTTTCCTGGCACCCATTGGCTTGTAATGCGCCACAGGATCTGATCTTACACACCCAATGTTGGGGGGGGGGAGGGGGCAAAATAGTGGAAAGGATGGTGGATGGGATTCCCCCAATACTTTTAAGGCTTCTCCAGAATTTTCCCTCAACCCCTCTCTCAGGATTCTATGCTGTCCATGGAGCGCCTTGAAAGTGGGGGTGACCCCAGCCTTCACTTTTTTATGTGCCCACACCTACATCAGGTGGGCTCATCCCCCTTCTGCCTAGAGCATACCCTAAGGCCGTCCCTCCCTCAGTCCCATCACTGGGCTCAGGGAAAGAGGCGTGGCCACACACACAGACTCCTATAAAGGTGGTATGCCTCCACCCTGATCCTGAAGGTGGTAGTTCCCTGGAGCCTTCCCTGATCCTCCAAGGGGGACCCCAAAGAGCACTCTTCAGTTCAGCACCTCCTCACAGCCAAGGTGAGTGCTGGGGGGGCTCCTGGCTTGCTCCTTCTTCCCAAGAAAAGGAACATTTTGGTGAGGAGGTACTGGATAGCTCCTCCAAAATAGGAGACTAAGAGTATTTTGTTGTTGTTGTTGTTGTTGTGTGTGTTTTGTTGGTTTTTGTTGTTGTGATCAGGCAAACTCTTTAAGGGAGAAACTGAGGCCAGAGGAATAAGAGGACTGTCTAGTAGTTAGTATCAGATCTTTAGATAGAAATGAGATACCCTTCCACTTTCAGATCAACTCTCACTGACCTCCCCGGGGGGCTTCCCTATTCCCGCACTTTCAGCCCCTTCCTCAGGACTGCCAATGGGAGAGAAAGCTCCTTTCTGGTCGGATAGGGTAGATAACAGAGATAACTGAGCTTTTCTAGCCATACTCTGTCTTATTTTAAAAATACCCCTACCCCAAAAGGTAGCATGTTAGAACTGAGAGTTCCTGGCCTGAGCAGGAGAGACTGCCCTCAGCAGGAGCCTCGCCACTACCTATTACCCAGGGATTCCCTATCCCACTGGCTGTCTCTTCCATCCTTGCTGGGACACCATCAGCTTGACAGACTGCTAGCTGCAGGGAACTGGAAACACCAGTTGCCTTTCCCTTGGCTCCTCTATCTTATAAAGACTAGAGGTCTTTAGGGACACCAGTTATGTTGAAGGAGGAGCCATGGCACACAGGCTGGCAGTATTCTTACCTCACTGAGCAAAATGAGTCTCTGGTGTGCTGCAATTCAGCTCCTCCAGGAAGCCCCTCTCACTTCAAGCTGGCTATAGTATTTGAGGTAGGAATTGTACATCTTCTTTTCTTATGTGGCTCAGATCTTTTCTTCCTAGGATCTGCATCCTCCAGATTGGACAATCTTTTTTGTTTGTTTGTTTTATTGATACAGGGTTTCTCCGTGTAGCCCTGGCTGTCCTGGAACTCACTCTGTAGACCAGGCTGGCCTCGAACTCAGAGATACACCTGCCTCTGCCTCCCAAGTGTTGCAATTAAAGGCGTGCGCCCACCTCCCTGCTGAACTGGGCAATCTTGTCTTACCCTCTCTCCTTGTTTCGTAATTGAAGCCTCAAAGTTAAAATGACTTGTCCAAGACTATCTGAACTGTTTTTCTTGGCAAAGTGACTCTCCTGACTGGGCAGAGCCTTAGAACAGTCTGTAAATTTGCACACCTTTTCTAGAACAAGCCTAAAGACAACCTTTCCTCTTAATTTTTGTTAAGTTCAAATCCATTCCTGGTTTTCCTAATTCCAGTTAGTGGTTTTCTTATAGCCCTAGCCTGATTCCTTTTAATTTTGCTTTCTTGTGACCAGCAAAAGAGTGGGGGAGGCCCAGCCTATTCATTCATGAGAATTGAGCACAACAGAAAGCTTGGCCTGGAACACTGTTGCTCAGAGCTACAGCTGCTCTCCCTCTGCTTTTAAAGTGTGGCTCAGCTGAGCTCAGGGAAGTAGGGCTGAGAGCTACGTGGCTTGGACATTGATTTTCCTATACCTTCTCCCATTCTTGTCCTCTGTTGGGGTTTTGTGGGGTTTTTTAGATCCTGAGGTGAACAGTAAAGAACTGCGAACTAAGATTCTTTGATTTCCAGAGGGAGACAGCTGCCAAAGCAGCTATGCATTCCCTGGGACTTTCCCTGAGAGCTCTGACTCCTGGCTCTGTCACTATGGCTGGGTGACTCTGGGCAAGTCAATGCCCCATTTGAAGGTTGATTTCCCTGCTGCTAGAGTATGAAACGAGGCCGGAGGAACAAATGATCTCTAATTTCCTGATAGGGTGGCTTTCCCAAGGTGGCGGGTAGGATCCAAGGAGAACTTTTTTGGGTGACGTGTTAGCTGTGCATTTATTGGAATGCATTAGGTAGAATGCAGTGGTAGTTACAAGAGGTTTTCTAGAAGTGGATCACATGGGTGTACCCAACATTTCCCAGATCTGTAAGTTTGAGAATGTTATGTATCCTCTCTGAATCTTACTGCAGCTTTCCTCAGAGGCTTATGGCTAAGACTGAATAAAAAATAACTGTGTGTGTGTGTGTGTGTGTGTGTGTGTGAGAGAGAGAGAGAGAGAGAGAGAGAGAGAGCATGTGTGTGTAGAATATGATCAAAATATATTGTATGAAAACAAAACCAAACTACACTGAGACTTCTCCAGAAGAACAACAGTCTACCTGACCTCAGCCTTTCTGTGTGTGGAGAAAAAAGAACTGTGGAATTTTGGGCACACAGTGGCAGCTCAGCAATCTCTGTCCTCCCTCTGTGCCCAGTGAAGATCTCCGGGTGGAAGACTTTTCCTTTGTCCAGCCAGCATGGTGACACATCAGCATATTTACCCCTCACCCTCAGTCTGATGATCTGCCTTTTCTTTCTGCTTGCCTCAGCTCTCAGCAGCCACCTAGATCATGCCTTCTGTGTTTGGACTCCCAGCCTTCATGTCCGCCACAGAGCTGCTCCTGACCGCTGTCATCTTCTGCATAGTATTCTGGGTGGTCAGAGTGTCAAGAACCCGGGTCCCCAAAGGTCTGAAGAGCCCACCCGGACCCTGGGGCTGGCCCTTCATTGGGAACATATTGACCCTGGGGAAGAACCCACACCTGTCACTGACAAAACTGAGCAAACAGTATGGGGATGTACTGCAGATCCGCATTGGCTCCACACCTGTGGTGGTGCTGAGCGGGCTCAACACCATCCGGCAGGCCCTGGTGCGGCAGGGAGATGACTTCAAGGGCCGGCCAGACCTCTACAGTTTTAATTTCATCAGTAATGGCCAGAGCATGACCTTCAATCCAGACTCTGGACCAGTGTGGGCTGCCCGTCGGCGCCTGGCCCAGAATGCCCTGAAGAGTTTCTCCATAGCCTCAGACCCGACGTCAGCATCTTCTTGTTACTTGGAGGAGCACGTGAGCAAGGAGGCTGACCGTCTAATCACCAAGTTTCAGAAGCTGATGGCAGAGGTTGGCCACTTTGATCCTTACAAATATTTGGTAGTGTCAGTGGCCAATGTCATCTGTGCCATGTGCTTTAGCCAACGTTATGACCATGACAACCAAGAGCTGCTGAGCATAATCAATCTGAGCAATGAGTTTGGGGAGGTCACTGGCTCTGGATACCCTGCTGACTTCATCCCTGTCCTTCGCTACCTGCCTAACTCCTCTCTGGATGTCTTCAAGGACTTGAATAAGAATTTCTACAGCTTCGTAAAGAAGTTAATCAAGGAGCATTACAGGACATTTGAGAAGGTAGAGGCTGGGAGAAGCAGGTGGTGGTAGGAAGCAGGCAGGGTCCAGGGCCAGAACATCACAGGCAAGCTTGGAGCCAGTAGCAGAGTGCGCTCCATCCTCAGCAGGCCAATAGAATTTTCTTGGCTGGTCCTTCTGTGCATCCATAAGACAAGAGCCACTGAATAGGAGGAGCCCTGGGCTAGTTCTTGCTGGACCAGGAAGAGTTAAAGAACCTGTGTCCTGGTCTCATGGTGGAAAAACAGGTAAAGAAAGCATTTAATTACTAATAGTGTCAGGCTCTATGCCTCCAGGGTCTCTTGAGTTGGGCCATCAGTTCTCTAAGGTTGGAAAGAGACTTGGAGAGGCAAAGCGAAACTGGGATAGCAGCTCAGGTCACCTCTTGAACATAGGTGTTGATGACAGTGAGGGGCCAGGCCTGGATGGAGAGGTAGGTCTGGATTTGGGCTATTTCTCACCTTGTGCTCCCTCATCTCCTAGGGCCACATCCGGGATGTCACAGACAGCCTCATTGAGCACTGTCAAGACAAGACGCTGGATGAGAATGCCAATGTGCAGCTGTCAGATGATAAGATCATCGCGATTGTTTTTGACCTCTTTGGAGCTGGTATGTGCACTTCAGTGTATCATGTCTTTGCTTAGGTGCCCCTACCTGCCACATGCCAACTTCTCCCTCTGTTCCCTCCTGTTCAGGGTTTGACACAGTCACAACTGCTATCTCTTGGAGCCTCATGTACCTGGTGACAAACCCTAGGGTACAGAGAAAAATTCAGGAGGAACTAGGTAGGTGGTGGCTCCTTTCCAAGGACTCTAAGTGGGAGACCCTGATAAAGTCTGGGCAATATCTTACTCCTTTGGCACCCCTGTATTCTATAGACACAGTGATTGGCAGGGATCGGCTGCCTCGGCTTTCTGACAGACCTCAGCTGCCCTATTTGGAGGCCTTCATCCTAGAGACCTTCCGACACTCATCCTTCGTCCCCTTCACCATCCCCCACAGGTCAGTCCATAGATCCATTGATATTTGATACTAGGCCTTAGTTTAGTATACAAAGCCCATTAGGATTCATAGGAAGGACATGGCATGGGAGTGGGGTGGTGGATTTTCCTATGGCCCTGATCCTGACTGAGCTTCCTCTTTCCCCAGCACCACAAGAGATACCAGTCTATGTGGTTTCTATATTCCCAAGGGGCGTTGTGTCTTTGTGAACCAGTGGCAGGTTAACCATGACCAGTAAGTTGACGGGGCAGTGGAAACTCCTGAGTGAGCTGGGTCCATCCTCTCCTGGGCTTCAGACCCTCTTGTCCCTTGGGAATTGACCTACTTGATGTTTATAAGCCCTTGATCAGGTATTTCAGCTGTCTCCCTCTACTTACAGGGAACTGTGGGGTGACCCAAACAAGTTCCGGCCTGAAAGGTTTCTCACCTCCAATGGCACTCTGGACAAGGTCCTGAGTGAGAAGATCATGCTCTTTGGTTTGGGTAAGCGGAAGTGCATTGGGGAGACCATTGGCCGGTGGGAGGTCTTTCTCTTCCTGGCGATCTTGTTGCAGCAAATAGAATTCCGCGTGTTACCAGGTGAGAAGGTGGATATGACTCCTATCTATGGACTGACTTTAAAGTATGCCCACTGTGAGCACTTCCAAGTGAAGATACGCTCTTCTGAGCCTCAGCATCTCTAAGCTCAGACTGCCCTGTATGTCACCAGACCGGCGGGCTGTTTCACTGATTTAACTCCAGCCAGAAGCACAGATTCTGGGGAATTGTGCCTGCCTCCTACTTTGGACTTGCTTTTCTGTATGCTCAAGACAGACCGGGCACAGCAGAGGCCCATAGGAACTTTGGAACCTTCCTATGTTCGGCAACAACTAGGAAGCCTTACAGTGTTAAGAGGTACATGGGCCTCAGAAAACCCCTGAAGAGCTCTCTGGATGCTCCAGGGACTGGCTGGTTTGAGAAAAACTTAAAGCAGGTCATGCCAGGATCTGTCTGGTTTCTTTGACAACTGGGAGCTGCCTAGAATAGAGGGAGAAGACAGCTCAAAATACTGGCACAGAGGTGTGATTGCTGTTAGTTAAGGCTAAGCAGCCTGCCTGCATGGGTTTATGACACTTCATGTGGGGCTCACCTTTGTTTGCCCTCCATAGGAACAGGGCAGGGTGCCCTGTTCTTGTAAAGCCTCTATTCTTGTTCAGGAAGAGCTGGGACTTGGTGTCTAGAAAGACCCAAGAACAGAGGGACCGAATCTCTGGGCAATAGGACCAGGTGTAGAAAAAAGGGACAACACTTTTGAGATAGTGTCTCTTATAGCCCAGGCTGCCTCTGAACTTGGTATGTAGCCAAGGATGGCCTTGGGCTCCTTATTTTGTTCTGCTGTCGCCACCCTACCAAGTGCCAGGACAGTCATGGGCCACTCTGCCAGCTCCTGGTCTCCTTCTTTATTGTATAAAATGTTCTACACAAAGAAACCCTGTCTCTCCTTGTGGGGTTCCTGTCCTCTCCAGAGCTTACCATTTCCCACTTCTTACATAAGATTCCATGTAGAGCAATAGAACCAGAAAATTTGAACACAGGGGTCTTCCCAGAGACTCATACTCCAACCAAGGACTATTCATGGAGATAACCTAGAACCCCTGCACAGATGTAGTCCAGGGCAGTTTAGTGTCCAAGTGGGTTCCATAGTAATGGGAAGAGGGACTGCCTCTGACATGAACTAATTGGCCTGCTCTTTGATCACCTCCCCCTGAGGGGGGAGCAGCCTTACCAGGCCACAGAAGATGACAATGCAGCCACTCCTGATGAGATCTGATAGACTAAGATCAGAAGGAAGGAGAGGAGGACCTCCCCTATCAGTGGACTTGGGAGGGGCATGCGTGAAGAAGGGGGAGGGAAGGTGGAATCGGGAGGGGAGAAGGGAGGGGATTATGGGGGGATACAAAGTGAATAAAGTGTAATTAATAAAAGTTAAAAAAAATCTGTAAAGAAAACCACTTTTGGCAGAGTAAACAGTATTACACCCCCCCAAAAAAAGAAACCCTGTCTCAAAAAACAAACAAAACCAAGTTTGTACATGAGACCTTTTAATTCTGTTGTGTATTTTGCTTATGCATTTGTATTAGTCATACCTTAAGAGCTTTAGATCAATATGTTTAATACAACCAAGAAAACTCTTAACTCAAGTATCCAGAAATACATAGGAGAAACCTACCTAAGCTAAATAAAAAGCTTACCTGGAAGTGCTACACGTGGAGAGGTTTTGAACCTCAAGTTAACCTACATTCTAACCTTGAGCTCAACTTTCTACTGTGTCCCTGTGGGGAGACAGAGGTGGCAGTGGAGAGGGGAGGTGGCAGTGGAGAGGGGACGTGGCAGCTCGCAGGCAGGTTGTTAGTGGCATCTCCCTCTCTAACTTGTCGCACACTTTGATAGAGAATGTTCTCTGGGACATTAAACAAAAGACTGCTTTCAGAACCCTCCCCCCTCCAAAGCTGGTGGAAGGGCCTGATCCGTAGCATATCACCTAATTCAGGGTATTCTGGGCTTGACCAGCCCTGCATAGGGAAACATGGGTTGTAGAACTGGGGATAGGGCTGGGTGTGGGGTGGGTATACTGGGAGAAGTTCCTAGGTCTTTGGGGGACACCGAAGCAAAGCCTTCTTTGAAGGATGAGAAACAGTCGCTTAAAAAAAAAACAAAAAAAAAACAAAAAACTTTTTATTGATTCTTTGTGAATTTCACACCATGTACCACAGTCTCACTCATCTCCCCAGTCCTTCGTATTTGCCCTTGAAACCTCCTCCCGGAAAGAAAATTTAAAAGAAGAAAAAGAAGAAGAAGAAAAACCAACTTGTCATGGAAGCTGCAGTGTGTTGCACTGCCCACACTTCTTTACTGGCAAATGTTCATTGCAATGGGTCATTGGTCTGGCTTCTGCTGGATCCTCATTGGAACTCCGCTCAGATATCCTGTGTTGCCTTGTGTCATGGAGATACTGCAGCTTTGGATCTGCAGGACCGGCCTCTTCACATGCTCCAGAAGTTCCTAGGTGAGGTAGATGTTGGGATGGACCAACTCCTGGATCCAAGTCCTGGATCAAGTCCTGGATCTGGGCCAGGGTAGTAGCTGACTAAACTGGTCAGCCTGCCAGCTCTCCCACACCCACGCCACTAGGGTGAGCTCTCTAGCACTGCCTTGGCTAGCTCACCCAGTGCCACAGCCAGCAAGGGGCAGGGGCAGCTCTCCCACTCCTCTGCCTGTGGTGCCAGCTCACCCTAACCTTTGCTACCAGCGTCAGCTCTGCTATGCTCCCCAGATGAGGTGCAGGACCTGCTCTCCCAAGCGCTGTATCCAGTGAGGGATTGGGCCAGCTCTCCTGTGTTCACACCTTTGGACCGGCTGGCCTGCACTCTGCCAACATGGTTAGCTCTGCTATGCTGCCCAGGCAATGTGCAGAGCCCACTCTCCTGAACACTGCAGCCAGTGAAGGACAGGGCCAGCTCTCCCAGAGAAGCATTCTCTTGAGTGGCTCACATTTCAATGGAGAAAGCCTCATCCCTCAGAAATGTCAGAGTGGCAGTGTCAGGTAGGGGTGAAGGGCAGACATACTCAGCCAAAAGCTCCTCTAACATGCTTAGAGGACATGCACCTTGGTTTGCGTCCCTTCCTAGTATCACCCCACTCAACCTCCTTGAACAGCTTGTAGTGGACAGTAGTTGTCACATTCATGCTTTCTGACTGGAGTAGATAGTTTCTATTCACCAAGAGTTTCAGGCCACCATAAAAAGCAAACCAAAGTCAGAGAGAACAATGATGCCCAGTTACCCTTCTCATCGTTTTTGTTAAAACAAAAAACTTTTGGAGCTGGAAATGTAGCTCAGTTGATAGTTGTCTAGCATGCCCAAAGCTTAAGTGTTGTAGTCGGTGATTAATACTTACTAATGATTATCTTTTGGTAAAGCTTGCTGTTATGCCTAACAGCTGTATAACCAAATCACCACACAGACACTGGGTTTATTTAGTTATCTTAGAACACAATGCTGGGCAATAGCTACTCCATCCTAAGCCCTCATAGTTTCCTAACATTTAGGAAACATTATACTTGCTTTTTTGTGATATCTTAGGTCCAATCCATATCTCCATGTAGTTCCAAGATCTCTCCTCCAGCTCTCTCTCCAAGCTCTCCTCGCCCTTTCCCTCCCACTCATTTCCTGCCCTCTAGCTCCTCCCCTCTTTCCTGTCCTTTGGCTCCTTCCAGCTCAACATTGTGTCTAGTTGCTTTATTCGGAAGTTTATGCCAAGTTGAAAAAAACTTTGGGGCTAGAAATGTAGCTCAGTTGATAGTTGTCCAGCATGCCCAAAGCTTAAGTTCCTGTGGTAGCACACACCTGTAATTCTAGCAAGCAGGGGATAAAGACAGGATGGTCAGGGGTTAAAGGTCACTATTGGGGCTGGAGAGATGGCTCAGCAGTTAAGAGCATTAGTTGCTCTTTCAAAGGTCCTGAGTTCAATTCCCAGCAACCACATGGTGGCTCACAACCATTTATAATGCTATCTAGTTGCCTCTTCTGGTGTTCAGGTGTACATGCAGGCAGAACTCTGTATATATAAAAAACAAATAAATCTTTTGCAGAGGTCCTGAGTTCAGTTCCCAGAAACCACATGATGGTTCACAATCATCTATAATGAGATCTGGTGCCCTCTTTTGGCGTGCAGGTGTACATGCAGAAAGAACACTATATATATAATAAATAAATAAATATTTTTTAAAAAGGTCACTCTCTGCTATAGAAAGTTTGCAGCCAGTCTGGAATATGTGAGAACCTGTCTTGGAAACAACAAGAAAATTTGTATTATATGCTATCATAAAGAGGAGCCTATAAACTATGCAGAATAGGAAAATTAATAGAGCCAGAAATTAGGTTAGTGATTATCAGGTAACACAGGGCAAAGGGAATTGGCAGGTGTAGGGCTTCTTCTAAAGATAGAGAAGGGATTCTAAAAGCAGGAGTGATGCTTGTATAACTTTGTATACACTAAAAAGAACAACAACAAAACAAACAGCAGCAAGGCAGTGAGGCCTACAGCTCAGCAGTTAAGAATTCTTGGTTTTCCTCCAGAGGATCCAAGTTCCATGACCAGCACCCTGTGGGCAGCTCACAATTGCCTGTAACTCCACATACTCTCTTCTGGCATCCATGGACACTCCCACCTACCCTCAAATTGTGTGTGCACCACCGTCCCCCAAATACCCACATAAGTAAATCTTCATAAAAAAACCACAATGAATTATGCAGGTTAAAATGGTATGAAAAATACCATTTTAAAACGAATAAATCTGGACAGTATTTATAAAACAATTTATGAGCCAGGCAGTGGTACTGCACATCTTTAAATCCAGAACTCAGGATGTTGAGGCAGCAGATCTCTGAGTTCAAGGCCAACTTGGTCTACAGAGTGAGTTCCAGTTCAGCCAGCACTACACAGTGAAAACCTGTTTCAAAATAAAACAAAAATCCCAAACAAACAAACAAATAAAACATACACACACTATACACAACAAGACAAAAACAATTTATGCAACTGTTCTCAGACTTTGCCTTGATGATGGTGACATTACTTTTGCTCTCTTAAGATTACAATATGATGAGGGATAAATGAGTAATAATGGTGTTCAAATTCATCATCCCCTGTATTTTGAGGAGCTAGGGGTTTAGAGTATAGAAAAAAGAAGAAACTGTTGTAACATAGAAGCAGATAAGCTTAACTGATAGGATGCATTTCTATCTACCTGTCTCTCAGCTTCCTAGATCTGTTTGTTTTTAGAGACAGGGTCTCAATTTGTAGTCCAGACTGGCCTCCGACTCTTGATCTTCAAGTCTGAGCCTCCTGAGTGCTGGGATTTGTAGGCATGTACCATCATGCCTGGCTAAGATCCTAAAACTTAGAAGCAGCAGCCAGCTCACAGAAATGAACATTCTCACTTTCTAATGCCCAGATTGAGATCCAGGGCTTCTTAGGAAAACAACTGCCCACAAATCTGGGACAGAGGATATATTAATGAAAGACAAGCCTGGTACATTTGGTCATGACAGATGGTAAAGATGCTACAAAGATTCCAGGAATGGATTAAGCCACTCTGGGCAATCTTGAACAGGTTTTAACTTCTGAATATAGGACAGTTTAATTATTGATAATAATTTTTACTTGGTATGGTGACAATCGCTTTTAATTTCAGAACTCAAGCAGGATTGCTTTGCGTTTGAATCTAGCTAGGGCTACATAGCAAGACACTGACTCAAAAAAAATTTTCCCATAAATTAAAACCCTTCAAATGTGTTTGAGCACATAAGCTTATAAAAATTTCTATTTTTTTAGATTTATTTTATGTGTATTGAATGTTTTGCCTGCATGCATGTACATGCACCATGAGGGCATTAGATCCCTTGGAACTGAATTTATGGATAGTGATGGAAGAGCAACAAGTGCTTTTAACTTCTGAGCCATCTCTCCAGCCCAATAATTCTTTTCTTTTTTTCTCCTTCTTTTCTTTCTTTCTTTCTGTCTTTCTTTTCTTCCTCCTCCCTCCTACTTTCTCCTCCCCCCTACCCCCTTCTCTTTCTTTTTGGTCTGCTAGCTCTCAGGAAACACTTCCCATAAGATTTTACCCTGCTGGGCGGTGGTGCTGCACAGCCTTAATCCCAGCAATAGAGAGGCAAAGGCAGGTGGATCTCTGAATTTGAAGCCAGCGGTCTACAGAGTGAGTTCCAGGGCGACAGAGAGAATCCTGTCTCAAAAAACAAAAACAAACAAGCAAAACTTAACTTCAATAATGCTGTTCTCTTCTTAAGCACCACTAATTTCTCAGTTCCAGCCAGATTTGAGTATCCCAGCAAAGCAAAAGTTTTACTTTAGTAGTTCTTGTTAATTGCAGCTGATCCTTCCTTCGCACCAGCTAAACCAGAACCACAGAATCTTAATTCAAAATTACAAATGGCCCCGATAGAGTCTTTACACTTCCCTCTGAAACTTCACAAGCCAGGCAATCTTTCAATGCTGTTAATATTCTTACCTTCCAACCTGCTACAGAACAACTCGCTGAGCTCCCCAACACTCCATGGCTTATCTAGCCCAAACTTCCAAAGTCCTAAAGTCCTTCCACAATCCTCCCAAAACACGATCAGGTCCGTCACAGCAATATCCCACCCCTGCTACCAACTTGTCTTAGTTTGGATTTCCATTGCTGTGACGAAACACCATGACCAAAAAAGCAACTTGGGGAGAAAGGGTTTATCTATCTTACACCTCCACATCACTGTTCATCATCAAAGGAAGTCAGGAGGGAAACTCAAACAGGGAAGAAACTTGGAGGCAGGAGCGGATATAGAAGCCATGGGAGAGTGCTGGTTATTGGCTTGCTCCCTATGCTTGCTCAGCCTATTTTCTTATTGATCCCAGAACCACTCGTCCGGGGATGGCCCCACTCACAATAGCCTGGGCATTAATTAAGAAAAAAGGATTACAGGCTTGCTTACAGTCTGATCTTACGGAGATTTTATCAGTTGAGGTTCTCTTCTCTCAGGTAACTCTAGCTTGTGTCATATTGACAAACTAGCCAGTACAATTTCCCCTTCCTTCCTCCCCCTCCCCCCTCCCTTCCTCTCTCTCTCCCCTTCTCTCTCACACACGCCACTCAGACTTCAAGCACAGAAAATACCCGGCACGGCCAGGCAGCCTTTACCCTTCTCCTTTCAACACCACGACCCTCTCAAATTTCCCGGGAGCCCGCCCCTGGGCTCCTCCCTCCCGCCTATGATGTGTGTCAACGGAAGTGACCTCACCCCGGGTTGGCGTGGCACGGGGGCGTTTCCGGCGACGGTGGCGGCGACTTCTTCTGTGTCCCTGGAGGTGGGCGTGAAGCCCCTCTATGGTGTTTTGGCCTGTGGGATCTGCTTGGTGTGGTGCGCGGCGCAGGCGGGGGCAGACGGCGGGGAGGTGAGCATGAGGGAGGTCGCTTGTTCGCGTGTGCTGGCGCTTCCGGGGTGGTCCGCTCGGTTTGCTTTTTAGGCTTCCAGGCCTTGTAGACCTGTATATTCGCGGGCAGGAACTGTGTGTGTGTGTGTGTGTGTGTGTGTGTGTGTGTGTGTGTGTGTGTGGTGTGTGTGTGTTTGTGTGTAAACTCTGTGTGTGTGCAGGAACTCTGTGTGTGTGTAGTGTGTGTGTGTAACCTGTGTAACGTGTGCAGTGTGCGGGAACTCGCGGGGGTGTGTGCGTGCTCGCGTAAGGGGTGCTGAGGCACTCACCGGGTTCGGTGTAGGTGTAGCCCAAGGATCTGGGTTTGAGGCAGGAGACGGGAGGTTGAGGAATGGGAGGCGGTAGCTGCTGGGTCTCTCTCAGGCCAGCTTTGGTGGCCTCTGCGAGTTGCGCTCTCTCCCAGCCACTGCTCTTTGCCTCCATTTCCTTTTGAGCAGTGAAGTTAATAGTCAGGAAGCGTGCCAGTACCACACGGTGGATGCTGATCTGTGACAGGCTGGAATGTGGAAATACAGATCCTAATGCCCTGCCAGTGCGCACAGTCAACTGCCCTCGGTGCGCTGCTGTAGTTAATCCTTTCTGCGATGTGACTGCATTTATTCGTAATTTACTTGATCAGTGGTTTAAGTGTTGGAGTGTGTTGGAGGAATGGCCCTCATCAGCTCCGTTAGTTGGGTTTTAGTCTCCCAGTTGCAGAGCTCAGAAGAACCTTATTCTTTCCACAATACAAATGACCAACCCTGAGCTGTTTGTATCTCACCTGGAGCTCTCAGGTGGAATCCAGTTTTTTGTTTTTGTGTTAGTTTTCTTGAATGATAAATCAATTTGGGGGGCACAAAAATTCCTAATTGTTGGTTTCTCTGAAGTAAAAGTAGTTCTCTGGCTGTCTTAGAACTCTCTTTGTAGACCAAACTGGCCTGGAACTCAAGGGATCCTCCTGCCTCTGCCTTCCGAGTGGTGGAATTAAAGGCCTGCACCACCACAGGGCTTGGCTTTTGGATGATACTGAGACAGTCTTCACACCTGGGTCCAGTATTAAGCACAGTAATACTCCTGCTTTGGCCTCTGGAGTACTGAGATTATAGGCCTTCACCACCACTCTGCTTGGCAGTTAGTTTCTAACAAAGTCAAATACAGTTTCGAACCTGATTTTCTGTGTAATATGAACAACACATATAAAACTGTTAGTTTTTTAAAATGGAACTCAGAAGTGGAAAGAATTCAACTGTTTATAATAGCAGACTGGCTAAATTCATTGAGGTGTGCTTAGATAATACACTACAGACTTGGTAATTAACGTTTGCTACATGCAACAGTTGAATTTCACATATGTACTATTGATTAGAGGAAGCCAGGCACATGATCCTGCATGATTCCACTTTTGTGAAGTTTGAAAATAGCATAAACTAATCTTTCATGATGTCAGAATAGCAGCATCTTTATGGAGACACAATGGAGCCTCTTGTGATAGTTGTGTCGTAGCTCCACGGGGGACTGGTCACTGTGAAAGATTTTGGAGCACCAGATGTCATGATGCATAGCTGTCATCATAGCACTCAGGAGGCTGAGACAAGGGATCTTGAGTTTGAGCTTGTCTGGGATACATAGTGAATACCTATCTTATTTGTTTGTTTGTTTGTTTGTTTTTAATGTGGAGTGATCCACTTTTATGTAAATTATAACTTGATGGAAAAGTAGATTTGCCTTGTGCTAGGGATGTAAGCTCAGATGTCTAGCTACTAGCATGAGCTCTGGGTTTCATCACCAGAAAAGTGTGTGCGTGCAAAGTGGATGCAGGCACGCAGGCACTTACACACACACACACACACACACGTTTAAAAAAATGAGCTCCAGCTCCCAGTTCTTGGGAGGTAGAGGCAGACAAACCAAATGTTAACGTTAACAAGTCAAATGTTAAAGTTAGTTGATAAATGTGACTTTCAGTTAATAAATGCAGTTTTTAAATTTTTGATTCTATATTAATATATTAATATGTAACTCCGTTTTTGTTGGAAGCACCTCTGTAAAATATGTTGGTATTTTATTGACAACACAGCAAACAGGCTTCTCCTAGAAAGAAACTTTCTACCTGAGCGTGTGATGTATTCTGGTAATCCCAGCACTTGGAAAGTTGCAGTAAGTCTTGAGTACAGCCTAGCCCAGAGAGAGTTTGTTTCAGGCCAGTCAGGGCCACACTGAGACCAGCTCTCAGAAGAAGCAAAATAAACAAACCAAAATTGCCTAGGATTGGGCATGCAGCTCAGTGGAAGAACACTTTCTGAGAATGTGTACATGAAATTCTGGATCTACCTGCCAAAACTACCAAGAACTAAAACCAAAACTTTTTCATGTACACAAATACCAACTATAAATGAAACAGTGCAAACCCATCAGACTCCTTATCTGATGACTGCTCCAAGGAAATGTGGGTCATTCATTACAAGTCCTCCCTGTCAGAAAAAGCTACAGCTGAAGCAGGAGTATATATAGGAGCTACAAAAGGCTTCTTTGTTGTTGTTGTTTTGGGGGTGGTGGTGGAGCAGCAGTAGAGGTGACTCTCTGTAGCCCTGGCTGTCCTAGAACTCATTCTGTAGACTAGGCTGGCCTTGAACTCGAGATTCCAGCCAGTAGATATCTTTTATATATAGTAATTAATTTAATTTAAAAAAGTTTTTATGTGCATGAGTGTTTACCTGAATGTATTTCTGTGAATTGTGTGTGCAGTGCCTGAGGAGGGGGCATCAGATTCCCCGAAACTAGAGTTAATTAACAGTTATGAATCACTGTGTGTGTGTGCTAGGAATCGAACTAGGATCCTCTGAAAGAGCAACCAGTGTTTTTAACTGCTGAGCCATCGCTCCAGCCCTTTTTGTTCAGCTTTTATATATATATATATATTTAAAAGTTTTGATGGTGCTAAAAATTAAACTCAGACTTTGTCTTGCTAGGCAAATACTCCTCTACTGCTTAATCATGTACCTATCCTTCCCTTTTGAAAGATTTTGCACTGTTGTCTGTAATTCATACTCTAAAACAACTACATGATCTTTGGGCTTTTGTTGTTGGTTTTTTGTTTGTTTGAGACAGGGTTTCTCTGGGTTTCCAGACTGGCCTTGAACTCAGGTCTACCTGCTCTGCCTTCCAAGTGCTTAGATTAAAGGCACGTGCCACCACCACCGCTGTCTACATGGTCTTTGTAGACATATATCAATATTGCTTATTAATAAGCATGTCCCTACTGAAGTTTTTGTTTTTGAGACAGATTTTCGCTGTGTAGTCCTGGCTGACCTAGAACATTCTGTGTCGACCAACTTCAATCTAGATCTACCTGACTCTGCTTTCCGCCTAGCCACCCCAACACTGCGACCAGAGGTGGTGCAGCTGGGCACAGGGGTACGAACCTTTAACTCCTGTGCTCAGGAGGCTGAGACAGATAGAGCTGTGTGAGTTTGAGGTCTACACTCTGAGTTCCAGGCCAACCAGTTACATGATGAGGCCCTGTCTGTGTGAGGGTGCCAGATGCCCTGGAGCTGGAGTTACACACAGTTGTGAGCTGCTATATGGGAACTGGGAATTGGTCCTGGGCCCTGTAGAAGAGCAGCCAGTACTTAATTGCTGAGCCATCTCTCTGGCCCCCATGCTTCACTTCTTACTGGAGGGTTTTGTTGTTATTGTTGTTTTTTAATGCTTTGTTACCTCAATGGCAGAGTGTTATCAAACAGCACTAAGTACAGAACCTAACACACTTGCTGAATTTAAAAGATTTTCTTCAAGGTATACTGACTAGTTCCTTCTCTTCACAGCGACTTCACGTCTGAAACATGGCTATGGATTGGCTGGGCAGTATTGTGTCCATCAACTGTGGAGACAGCCTGGGAGTCTATCAGGGCAGAGTGTCAGCAGTGGATCAGGTCAGCCAGACCATCTCCCTTACTCGGCCCTTCCACAATGGAGTGAAGTGTCTTGTGCCAGAAGTCACCTTTCGGTAAGTGTCCTGACTTACAGTCTTCGGAATCCAGCCTGGTGCTGGAATCAAGGTCTGATTGGCTGGGCTCTGTCGTTGAGTCTGTCTAGAGGGAGAGTTCATAGTCTTACAGGCCTCAGAGTTCTGCTATTCTCAGTGGAGACTTTATGTTATAATACAGTTTCGAGGTAATGATTTTGGGTTTATGAAACCTGTTTCTTACCTCTTTTGACATGAAATTTTATTTAAATTCAGCATAACTTTTATATTTCAATTTTTTTTTTCAGTATTATATGTGCTTTCCTACATCAAAGGTCTTACCAGTTTTTTCCTGTTGGCATAAATGTGTCTGTTGTAGTTTCATGTGGTTTTATCCTGGGAAGCACACTGGAGCCAGTAACTGAAGTCCTTAGTTATAGGTGGTTCTTTCCTTAGTATTTGCCTCTAGCTCTTTTCACTTGTTTTTTACATCCCTATCTTCATCACTCTGAGAGTCAGACTCTTATATTTATGTACCAAAAACGATGCTGGTAAGAGCTTCCTTATTTTCCTGAGCAATTCCTTTGTATTTATGCCTGTACAACCTTTTGGTTGAGAACTTGTTTTTTATTTTATTTTTTAAGATTATTTTTAATTTTGTGTGTGCATGCCTATCTGGCTGTATGTTCAGTTATTCGAAGAGACCAGAAGAAGTTGGATGTCATGAGGCTGTAGTTATAGGCCAGTGTGCTGCTGAGAACTGGACTTGAGTTTAGTTCTCAGTAAGAGCAACAAGCGTTCTTAACTATTGAGCTATCACTGTAGGTCCGGGTGTACCTGCCCTAACTTCTCTGGTCCCTGGAAGTAGCTCTTTTGTCTGGGCTGGCCCCTTCATTTGTACTTGAAATGCACACTCTCCCTCCTTTGAGACCTTACTCCATTTCTTCTGTGTCTTCACAAGTATCAACCTTTGTTGTACTGTCTCTTTGTATTCTAGCAATGGACCTCCCTCATGTGAAACCTCCTCCCCCCATTTCCTACTAGGTAATATCATTTCCCTTTCTTTATATCCACATTCTTGTTCAGATGAAAATTATTTACTGTTATTAATTTTCGTAGCTTTGTTTTTTTGTTCCTTGTTCATGTTTTTCTGTCATCATCCTGGATTATCTTTTGTCAGGCTGACAGAGACTTAATTAATCTTAATTCATGACAAATTCAGGAGTGCTCCCCTTTTCTTGGTTTCTTTAATTTGCCTTTAGGTTTGTTCTTTTTCTTTTCAGGTTCAAAGATTGGATTATTCTAGGTTCTGTCTTTGTTGTTTTTGTTTTTCAATCTTTGGATCAGGGCTTCTAAAATTTTTCTACTTAAACTTTTTTTTTTTTCTCAGACTCTTGAGACAGAATCTATTTGATATACAGCTGAGGCTGGCTGGGAACTCAAAGAGTTCTGCTCACCTATCCCTCCCCAACACTGGGATTAAAGGAATGGTCAACTATGTCTGGTTCATAAACATGTTAAAGTAACTGCAGAATATAGACATAAAAAGTAGATATTCAATTAAAACATCTTCTGTCCAACCATAAAGAAGTTTACTTCAAAATAATTTTTTGGTACACATATAATTTTACCACTTATTAAATGTGAAGTGTATTTGGACACTGGGTGTGGTAGGGGTGTTTACTTATTTTTACCTAAAGAATTCAAGCTTGAGCCAGTGGTGGTGGTGCACTCCTTTTATCCCAGCACTTGGCAGGTAGAGGCAGGCACATCTCTATGAATTCAAGGCCAGCCTGCTCTATAGATATACCAAGGTCCAGGAATAGGCTACACAAGGCTATAAGACTACCCCGCCTCAAACAAAACAACAAAACAAGAATTAAAGCTTAGCTGAATATTTGATACTTCAGTATACAGTATACAGAGTATCTTTATGATACTTTGTTTTCATAATTGTCAGTGCTAGGACTGCTGATTCACAGTATAGTGTAAAATGGTGGGAGTTTATTTAGGGCCATTTCAGAAACTTGAAAATTCTGTCCTAATTCTAAGCCAAAATTAAGACATTGGATACCCTGGCACTGGAGTGACAGTTATGAGCTGCCATGTGGGCGCTGGGAATAAAACCCAGGTGCTGCTAACTACTGAGCCATATCTCCAGCCCACCTGTGTGTGTGTGTGTGTGTGTGTGTGTGTGTGTGTGTGTGTGTACTTTTTGAGATAGGGTTTCTCTGTGCAGATTTGACTGTTCTAGAACTCTGTAGACCAGGCTTGCCTTGAACTCACAGATATCTGCCTACCTCTGCCTCTGCTGAGTGCTGCCACCACTGCCTTTTTTTTTTCTTTCTCTTTTTTAATGAAAAAAGTTAGTAATTCAAACAGCACCTTTTAGAAAAGTCAAACTTGTAGTGCTTTACAATTTGGAGATTAGTTAATTTGTTATTTACATACTGAGAAATGGTAGTGGGAAAATATTTGAAAGTCTTTGTTTTCATAATAAAACTGTTTCTACAAGACCAAAAATCTCTGTATGTGGAGTAGAAACCCTCCAGTTTATAATGTACAGTAATCTTAAATTTGAACTGAGGTGTTTGAGGCAGTGATACTGGATTGGATGGCAAGACAGCTTGCACAGTGAAGACATGCAGAGACACACTGGGTTCATTAGGTGTGATTTTGAATTCACTTGGTCATTGCATGTTCAGAAGTCTTTCACTATCACCAGGTTCTTCAAAACCCCAAGGTTACTGCGTGACTCTGTATGGTGTCTCAGCCCACAGGTTAAATAAGCTAGGCTCTAGGTAAATTTATATTTTTTAAATGTATTTTAGTAAGAACTTGGATCTTTGCCCCTTTATTATCTGAGTTGCAGATACTTTGTCTCCTTATCTTTCTCAGTAGAATATTCGTTCTATAAGATGTCTTCAGTTGAAGACTTACAGCTGAACAACTATATTTGCAGGTTTCTCTTCCAGAAGTCTAGTCATAAGTTATATTGTTGACACCTTTCACCAAAGTTAGAAATTTAAGAATTGGGCTGATGAGATGGCTCAGCAAGTACACGTGCTTGCTAACAAGTCTGGCAGCCTGAGTTCAGTCCCCAGAACCCGAATGATGGAAGGAGAGAAACAACTCTAGCAAGTTGTCCTCTGACTTCCGTGTGCACATGGTGACACCCTGGCCCCTCCATTTCTACCCCCTTCCCCTGTGCAATGAAGAAATAAATGTAAGGAATATTTAAAAATTTTAAAGTTTATTCATATGAGTGTCTGCATTACATACTGTGTACCACTTATGTGTCTGGTGCCTAAGATCCCATGGAACTGGAGTTACAGACAGTTAGGAGTCCTCTAAAAGAACAGCCAGTATTCTTAACCTCTGAACCGTCTCTCTAGCCCAAGGGGGGATATATAAATATATATAAATATATATATATATATATATATATATATTTTTTTTTTTTTTTTGAGACAGGGTCTCAAAAATGTAGCCTTGGCTGGTCTGGAGCTCACTAAGTAGACCAGGCTGGCCTCAGACTCCCAGAGATCAATTAGCATGTGCTACCATGCCCAGGCTCCAAGGGGGGGGAACCTTAAAAAGAAAATTTAAGAATCATAAAAAACTTTCTTTCCCTAATTTGAGCTTGAGAGGGCACTTTTATTAAAGTTTAAAAGAAAATCCCCATCAGTGTAGGACAATGGAAGAGAAACGGGGAAGAGCCATGCCATTGGAGTTGCAGGTATGGATATCCTCCACCTGGCAGCAGACAGCTATATGGCAGGAGAGGGCTTTAGAAGAATAAGGATTTTTTTTTAAGATTTATTTATTTATTATTTATACAGTATCCTGCCTGCATGTGTGCCAACAGACCAGAAGAGGACACCAGATCTCATTATAGATGGTTGTGAGCCACCGTGTGGTTGCTGGGAATTGAATTCAGGACCTCTAAAGAGCAGGCAGTGCTCTTAACCTCTGAGACATCTCTCCAGCCCAGAATACGATTCTTTCTGTCTTTCTTTTGAGACAAGGTCTGTGTAGTCGTGGCTGCCTATTAACTATACAAACCATGCTGGTCTCAAATTTGCTGTGATCCTGCCTCTGCCTCCCAAATGTAGGGTTCTAGACAGGAGTCACAATACCCTGTTAGTTTCTCGAAACAACCATGGGAAAAGCCTATTGTGCTCATGATCTGGCCCCTGGTTATCACTTTATCTTCCTGATGGGCATTCTTTCTTCATGTAATACCATAGAGAGCATCTGTGCTTCTTCCTGAGAACATCTTCACATTTTCTTAGTCTCTGAACCTCTGGCTAAGATGCCTTTCTCCCTACTGATCTCTACTTGATTTGCTTTTACCTTCTCCTGCCACAGCCTAGACATAGCTTAAATAGTCTATATATAGCTGAATGTGGTGGGGCTTGCCTTAATCTCAGCACTCGGGAGGCAGAGGCAGGTAGGTTGCTGTGAGTTAGAGGCTGTCTTGGTCTACAAAGTAGGTTCAGGACTGCCAGGACTACACAGAGAAATTCTTGTCTTGAAAAACAAAACAAAAAAAACAAAACACAGAAGAAAGTCCATATACAGTATGAATTTAGGTATTCTGTTTCTGGGCTCACTAGTGCCCTGTGCTTATCTCTGTCATAGTATTTGACACTTCATTATTTACACGTGTCTTTTCCAGTGCTCAGATTGAGTTGCTTATAAATAAGTACTGTGTCTCGGTATATCCTGCACCTAGCCATGGCTTACCACATACTAAGGACGTTATATCTGCCTGTTGAATGAGCAAGTGGGTGAAAGAATTTTAAATAGCCACTAACACTCTGAAAATCTAAGATGGCTACAGAGTGTTATTAACAACTATCCAACTATCTCTCTAAAGTAGTGTATGAATAGAAAGTTGGTGGCTGAACACTGTCTTTAAGTGTTCTGCTACCGGTCTTAGTTTTTACTTATAATTCCCAGTTATGCAGTTTTGCAGAGGGTAGCTGGTTTCTGTTAATCCCAGTTTCATCATTACCATTTTCCTATTACTATAATTTTCAGACTTGGACTTTTGTGTATTTCAGGGCAGGTGATATTACAGAATTAAAAATTCTGGAGATACCAGGTCCTGGAGACAACCAGCAGTTTGGAGACCTTCATCAGACAGAATTAGGCCCTTCTGGTATTGGGTACCAAATGGGTATCAGTCAGAATGGTACAGGCAAGGTGGTCAAGAAACCAGCTTCTTCCAGTAGTGCCCCTCAGAACATCCCTAAGAGGACAGATGTGAAGAGCCAGGATGTTGCCGTTTCTCCTCAGCAGCAGCAATGCTCAAAGAGTTACGTGGACAGGCACATGGAATCCTTGAGTCAGTCCAAAAGCTTCCGTCGACGGCATAACTCTTGTAAGTACAGTCAAGTTGCTGTTTTTAATAACCTAGTATTGTAGGGCTGTATGCTCGCTCTTACCTACTGTTGCTATTTAACTGAATTATTTCTTACTCTTATACAAGGGGGTACTGGCAGAGTTTCACAAAACTCTGTTATTCTAGGCTAGTCCCTTAAAATACCAAGGAAAAGGAAATGAGCTATTTGAGATACACCCAACCTTCTTGCCCACTTTTGTCACTTGTCTTCCTTCAGGAAAAGTTAGGGATCTGAATCAGTTTGTTTTAAATCTGATAACTGGTGGTGGTTGTGATGTCTGAATTGACTATACTTGGGCTGTTCTAGTTCTTGAATACGACTTCTGTTCTTAGAGAGGAGGGGTCTAGTATAGCATCATTGTTACCTTCATTTCTGACAAACGTATTATTTGTTAAGATGCTGTGGATTGAACACAGATTTTTGCATACCGGGCAAGCATTCTGCCACCAAACTATGTCTGAAACTGGCAGTTTTATTTCTGTATTTATGTGTATGTGTGCAGGTATATGCATGTGGAGGTCAGAGCACAGTTGTGGGAGTTGGTTCTCTCCTTCCATCAGGTGGGCTTTCAGGTCAAACTCAGGTTGTCAGGATTTGTGGCAAGTACCTTTACTTTCTCAACAATCTCACCAGCCCCAGACAGGTCATTTACATTTTCTTGTGTTTCCTGTCCCCATTAGAATATTAAGGAAAGCATGTACTGGTATATATTCTCTCTTGTTTTGTTTGCTAGTAACACATGATTGATTTCTACGTGCTGATTATAGAGCCATAGATGGGTCACTAGAACCTGTCGCCTTCATGTGTACTAGAGCAATGTAATTTTGAGAAATAACAGATTTGTTCACATTTGTCCTGGTTCTTAAATACATATAAATGTTCTTTTAAAAGTTGCTTCTAGGGCTGAAGAGATGGCTCAGAGGTTAAGAGGTCCAGAGGTTAAGATGTCCAAAGGTTCAGAGTTAAATTCCCAGCAAACTCATGGTGGCTCACAACCATCTGTAATGAGATCTGATGCAGGTAGAATATGTATAAATAATAAATAAATAAATCTTTTAAAAAAAAAAGTTGCTTCTAGGGAGGCTGGATAGTCAGCTTGTCAATTAAGAGCACTTGTTCTTGTAGAAGACGCAATTCCTAGCATTCAAATGGTGGTTTATAACTTACTGTAACTCTAGTCCCAGGGGAATTTGATACTCTTTTCTAATTTCCAAAGACACCAGGCATACATGTAGAGCACATATGTACATGTAGGCAAAACACTCATACATATAAAGTAACTTAAAAAATTTACATCTAGGTAGTCTTTCAGAGGCCCTCTGTGGTAGCCTCAATGGCAGGCTCTTTGACACCCCCCCACCCCAACTAGGCCACAGAGGAGGACTTGGCAGCCAGTCCTGAAGATACCTGATAAACCAGGGTCAGATGAAAGGGGAGGGGGTCCTCCCCTATCAATGGACTTGGAAAGGGGCAGGGAGGAGATGAGGGAGAGAGGGTGGGATTGGGAGGGAATGAGGGAACAGGATACAGCTGGGATACAAAGTTAATAAACTATAACCAATATTTAAAAAATGGTGAGGACAGAAAAAAAAAATACAATAATCCAAAGTGGGAGAAAAAATTTACATCTAGGACTCTAAAGATAGCTCAGTAGCTAAGAGCTGCTTTTTTTGTTGTTTTTTTTGTTTGTTTGTTTTTGTTTGTTTTTTTGGTTGTTTGTGTTTTTTTTTTTTCTTCCAAGACAAGGTTTCTCTGTGTAGCCTTGGCTGTCCTGGACCTGCTGTGTAGACCAGGCTGTCCTCAAACTCTCACAGTGATCTGCCTGCATCTGCCTCCCTGAGCACTGGGATTAAAGGCATTATGCCACCACACCTGGTTTACTTTAGCTGTGCTTACAGAGGACCTGAGTTCAGTTTTCAGCACACAAGTCAGGGTGGCTCATAAGTGCCTGTAACTCCAGCTCCAAAGGCCTTCTTCTGGCTTCTTTGGGTACCTGTATAGGTGCATAGATACACAGACACATACATATAAATAAAAATAAATACCTAAAAAATTACTTCTAAATTACAAACCATTTGTCTTAGTTGGGGTTACTGTTGTTGCAATGAAACACCATGCCCAAAGCAACTTGGGGAGAAAAATAGAATCTAGGACCACCAGCCCAGAGATGACATCACCCGCAATGGGCTGATTCCTTCCACACCCCCATCAATCACTAACTTAAGAAAATGCCCTGTAGGCTTGCCCATAGCTCGATACGATGGAGGCATTTTTCTAATTAAGGTTTCCTTTTCTCAGATGACTCCAGCCTGTGTCAGGTGACTATCCAGCACATTGTCTTACTTTTACTGGCATTTTATACCTACAAGTGGTGGCAAAATATGAGGAATTTTACATGTGTATTCACTAACTCATATAAAATTATACACTATAGTCATGGCTAAATGTAGAATGAGCTGCTTTCTAGAGTCCACTGGGAGAGTTGATTACAGAAAGTTCCAGTGCCACTTACTGTCCTTTTGTGCCTTCATTATTGGTCCCAGTGGCCTTGTAGTAAGGTTTTAGTGTGCTGCTTCAGTTCTAGCTTGGGATGTAACATTTGTGTCAGGGCTAACATTTTAAGTTTTAGAAATGCCTACTTTGGGTTGGAGAGATGGCTCATCAGTTAAGAGCACTACCTGCTCTTCCAGAGAACCTGGGTTCAATTCCCAGCTCATAGTAATCTGTAACTCCAGTTCCATGGGATCCAATACCCTCACACAGATACACATGCAAACGAAACACCAGTGCACATAAAGTAAAAATAAATTATTTAAAACAAAACAAACAAGAAAAAGAAATGCCCACTTTCAATGAAAAAAAAAGAATCCAATAAAAAGGCATTTTTAGGCAAATACCTACATACTTAAATACCTATAAAACAACTGTATTAATTGGTGATGGCTTGAACCAGAAGACTGAAGTATCTGAAGTATGCAGGAGTACTTCTGTATCCTAAGAAAACTTAGACTGCTTGCATAGGAAATGACTCATTCCACTTAGATTTTAACCTTTGCTGAGTAAAGTACATATTTTATTCAGGTTGCCCTTGTTTTAACCTAATGCCTTGTCTTGGGTTTTATTCAGTGTCCATTACATAAGTTACTAATCTTGGACTGACTTTTTCTTTCTTTTTTTTTTTTTGACTTATTTTATTTTGGGTTGTGTGTATACAGGTGCCCAAGGAGGTCAGAAAGGGACGTCAGATCCCTTCGAGCTGGAGTGCAGTCGGTGTGACCAGCTGGCATGTTCTAGAAGAGCAGTAGATACTCTTAGCCACTGAGCTATCACCCCATAGGCTTCCTATTCTTGTTGATAGATGTTCTTGATACATACTGGTCAGGTATTTCGTACAAAGTCCCTCCGTTGATATTTTTCTTGTGATTAGACTATTTTGGGGTAGAGAAACACAAAATATAAAATTTTATTACACTATCAAGAAAATGTGTAATGACCATAATTTATGACTTTCCACCATTAGTTTGGTCACCTGATTAAAATATCATATCAAATTTCTCGTTTATAAAATAATTATGTGTAGTCTGTATCCAAAGAATTTTGTCTTTCATTTTGGGTTTTGTCGCTAAGATAACTTATGCAAATATTCCTAGAATCCCAAATACTTCTGGCCCCAAGCATTTCAGATGAAGAATACTCAGTTTATATCAGAATTACTAACTTGTACTCTCTACAGAATATAATCTCTTGTGACAAGGAATGTGTGATTCCTCTTGCCTTTCATCTTACAGACTCCGTTTATTTTCAGACTCCATAGATTTTTTTCACACATATTATTGATTTGTTTCTTATATTCATAATATAGATGGATTGCCATTTTTCATTCCATTCTGTGATTCCTCAAACCTACTGAATAATTTGAATATTTGTAAATATAAAGGCTTACTACTCTTTTTGCTGTAAAGTTTGTGGGTTTTTGACAAATACATGGTCGTATTACAATGTTGTATAGAATAGTTTCTGTGTCCTAAACAATCTCCTGTCTTTACCTGTTCAGCAGTCCCCTCCCTTTTCTTCACTTTCTCCTGGTAGCTACTGTAGTTTTCATTTTCTAGAATGTCAGATTAAATTACACAACATTTAACCTTCTTCAATGGTGTATTAGTTAGAGTGTCTATTGATTCGACAAAACACCATAACCAAAAAGTAAGTTGGGAAGGAAAGGGTTATTTGGCTTATACTTCCATGTTGCTGTTCATTATTGAAGGAAGTCAGGACAGAAACTCACAGGGCAGGGACTTGGAGGCAGGAGCTGATGCAGAAGCCATGAAAGTATGCTGCTTACTTGATTGCTTCCCATGCTTACTCAGCCTGTTTTCTTATAGAACTCAGGACCATTAATTGAGAAAATGCCTTAGAGCTGGATCCCCTGGAGGCATAACTGAGGCTCCTTCCTCTCGGATAGCTCTAGCTTATATTAAGTGGACACAACACCAGCCAGTACAAATGGCTTCTTTGACTTTGCAGTTGTGTTTAAGATTCATTCATGTCTTTTTGTGGCTTGGTATGTCATTTTCTTTCTGATTTGTTTTTGTTTTTTTTTTTGAGACAGGGTTTTTCTCTGCAGCTCTGGCTGTTCTAGAACTCTCTGTAGACCTGGCTGACCTTGAACTCACAGAGATCCATCTGCCTCTGCCTCCTGAGTGCTGGGATTAAAGTTGTGTGCAACCAAGCCCAGCAAGTGTGACTGTTTTGCCTGCATGTATATATGTGTACATGCCTGCCTGGTGCCTGGAAGGTCAGAAGAGGGCATTGGATCCCCTGGGATTAGAGTTAACTAGATGATTATGAGCTTCTGTGTGGTGCTGGGAACTGAACTTGGGTGTTCTGGAAGAGGAGACAGTGCTCTTAACTGCTGAGCCAACTCTCAAGCTCTCTTTTCTGTTCTTATAAGTTCTTCCAAGGTGAGCTATAAACGGAGGAATTTGTTGGTTCCTGTTAGCTAATCCAACCCTGATAAAATTTAGAATAAGTGTTTCTTAATGTCTTCCTTGGGTTGGGGTAAGGATGGGTTTAAAGAATAGTTTCTGTGACTTACAGAAAACTTGTCAAAGGGGTGAATGGGTCAACCATCTGGTCCAGGTTACAGAGGGAGGACACTTAAGGTTTATTAAGTGTATGGGTTGCTGTGTGGGTAAAAACCATGTGTGTCATGCTGGTGATGTGGCTCAGTTGCTAGAGTGCATGCTTAGCATAAAAACCTGGGTTAGATCTCCAGCACCACATAAACTCAACTTGGATGCTCTGCATATAATCTCAGCAATGGAGAGACAAAGTAGGAGGATCAGAAGTTCCAGGGCATTGTGTTGTGGGTGCAAATGTGTACAGACATACGCTAATAACAAATACATTTAAAAATCACATTTTTAAATCTCAGGATTTAATCAACTAAAAATAGTGACTCTTGGGGACAGATAAAGACACTCCTGTAAAATCACATTGTAATCATGAATGTGGCAATCATTCATTGGTTATATACTATTGAATGGTTAAGGCTCTTTTGCTCGTAGAACATGAAAGTAGATAACTGGCCTTGAGCTCATGTTTATGTAAACAGAGGTTGTCTTACAGATAGACATTTTAGGGGCTGATAGTGCCTGCAATTCCAGCTTTAGAGGATCTAATGCTTTCTGCTGGCCTCTTAGGCACAACTTTACCCCCATCCCAGACACACACGTACAAAAAATTAGAATTAAATATAAATCACAGGTACAACACTCTGTCTATTTGGTACTCGGTACTTCTTCTATAGAAGATAGAAATTGAGAAGTATAATTAAACCTTTTAAATGGAAAGATGTTGGATGTTAACTTGTTGCAACGTGGTTGGGCTTTAATGGACTCTTAGATTTGGTAGTCATCTGAAGTTGGAACTTATGTTTCCATGTTCCTACTAGAGTTCCTCTTGACTTTGTGTCTCTTTGGATGTGCTTCATCTATTTGCCAGATTTGGTAAATAACCAGAATATCTCCAGTATTATCAGGCTTTCTGTCATATCAGGCTTTCTGAGTCTGGAACTAAAATATTTTCAATTTGACTATGAGGTACCCTTTAGAACCTAAAGTGTAGGACAGAGTTCCCTTTTATAATATATGCATGACAAAAGCCAATTAGTAAGTGACATTGAGGGTTACACAACTGTGGGTTTGTTACAAAAGGTCCTGGCCAAAGGGCCTATGTATCAAAGGCTGGCAGAAAAATGGCACAGGAAGGCCAGCTTCCATTCTTACATGCTTGGCCCTTGTTTGAAAGGTTTGCAAGCCTGGGAAGGACTGTTTATCTTTTCCAAGGGAAGTTCCTTGTTCTCCCAGTGGCCAGAGGTCAGCTTGCTTAATGCACAGCCAGACTGTGGGCTAAGTGAGCCAAGAACTGAGGCATTAGGAAAACATGAGTTGTATTTTCAAAATAATGTTAAAATAGCCTTGTTAGTGTGGATTAATTTGTCAGATGTTTTTTGACTACTTTGAACCAGTGCTGTGAACAATTTGCTTGATAGAAATATAAGATTAAATGTAACTCTTGCTTTTTGTTTTTGTTTTTAAAACATGAGTTCGTTAGCCTAGGCCTGTGGATGACCTTGAGTTTCTGCCCTGCCTCTCCTCCAGTGCTGTGATTACTGATGTGTCCACCATTCCCAGGCTTTGGGGTGCTGGGGTTTAAACCCAGGAGTTAGTGCATGCATGGCAAGTACTCTGCCAACAGGGCTTCAACCCCATTCCCAAATTATTTGTCTCTGTGTATATACATTGTATATGTATATGTCTGTGTGCTTATCTGCATGTGTGCATGCCAGTGCACACCCACCTGTGCATGTGGGTGACACAGATCAACATTGACTCTCCTCTTTCATCCCTTTCCACCTTAGTTTTTAAGACAAAATCTCTCTCACAGAACCTGGGACTCACTAGTTTGGTTAGGCTGGCTGGCTCACCAGTAAGCTCTCAGGGTCCTTCAGTTACAGACGTGTTTATTCTTGCACCCAGCTTTTATTTCTGTACTAGGGCTCCAAACTCAGGATCTCATGTTCACTTAGCACATGATTTAATGACTGTTGTTTCCTCAGCCCCTAGATTATATAACATTTTGATGACTTAACTAGATTAAAGATCTAACTCTTGGCCCATTGAAGGAATGTGAAAAAGGAGCATTGTAGTTGAGCTGAAATGAGTTGCCTATATATATGTGTAGGTATAATTTGTACTTTGAATGGTTGGTTTGAAGAATTTTATGGGACTTTCTCTTTGGCTGCTAAAGGAGTATTGATTGATAAATAGCAGCCAAGTAGAATCTAAGAGACAGGGTGGCTGGTTGCTGCAGTGTTGATGTTTGTTTTGCTGTGATCATTTATCTTTGGTAGTTTAGAAAACACTTTTGTAGAAGAGATAAGGTTCTGAAAAAAGAGATCATAGTAACAAAAGATTAAAGAACATTTTAGACTAGCTGGATCTGTTATTCTTGTCTGCTGTAGTCTCATCTGAGAGTAAATCAAGTTAGAAAGGACTTTGGTGGGTACACAGAGAATAAGCTGAACAGCTCTTCCTGTGGACTTCATGCTATTTCATTTCTTATGTGATAAGCTTCTGTTGCACACCTGTAATCCAAGTTGTTTGGAAGTTCAAGGCCAGCCTGGGGGATTTATTGATAACCTTATTGACAATAAATATCTGTCATGACTTTTTCCTTTATGAAAGGCAGTAGTGATTAAGATTTTCAGGAGTATTGCTCATTTTCTGTTTAGTTATTTGAGTGGTTTTTCAGATTCATTATTCCACATGAGATTTGTGCTTACTCTTTCTTGCTCTTAGTGTGATTTAGAAATACCCTGCCTTTCCCTTTGATTCCTGACACTCTCAGATGACTACATTTTTCATTTACACTGCTTATGGCTACACTGACTTTGTTCTTTATTTTAACCTCCAGGGTCATCTAGTAGCAGGCATCCAAACCAGGCAACGCCAAAGAAAAGTGGTTTAAAAAATGGCCAAATGAAGAATAAAGATGATGAGTGCTTTGGAGATGATATTGAGGAGATCCCAGACACAGATTTTGACTTTGAGGGGAACCTGGCTCTTTTTGACAAAGCAGCTGTGTTTGAGGAGATTGACACCTATGAGAGGAGAAGTGGTACCCGTTCCCGGGGTGTCCCAAATGAGCGTCCTGCTAGGTACCGCCATGATGAAAACATCCTGGAATCGGAGCCTATTGTCTACCGAAGGATCACGGTACCACACAGTGTGAGCAAGGAGTTTTGCACAGGTGAGTTTTGTTTGGGTTTGTTTTGTTTTAGACGGGGTCTCACTACGTAACCCTGACTGGCCTGAAACTCCCCAAAGATGCACCTGCCTCTGTCTCCTAAGCACTGGGACTGAAGGAGTCTGCCCCTCAGCTGTTCTAGTTTTTATTTTATCCATTTTTATTTTTAAAGGATTTGTTTATTTTATGAATATGGATGTTTTATATACATGCACATCTATCTGCACACCAGAAGAGGTCATCGGATCTCATGAGACCTCAGTTATAGGTGGTTGTGAGCCACCATGTGTGTGCTGGGAATTGAACTTAGGACCTCTGAAAGAGTAGCCAGTGCTCTAAACCACAAAGCCATCCCTCCAGTTTTTGACTTTTTTTTTTTTTTTTTAAGTCAGAAACTTTGTCTTAGTCACTGTTTCATTGCTATGAAAAGACACCATAACCAGGGCAACTCTTATGAAAGAAAGCATTTAATGGTGGTGGGGGGTGTTTATAGTTTCAGAGGTTTAGTCCATTATCATTGTGCAGAGAACATAGTGGTAAACAGGCGTGGTGCCGGAGAAGTAGCTGAGAACTACATTCTGATCCACAAGTAGGAGGGTGGGGTATGGGAAGGGAGGAGAGGGAGAACAGGAGCACCTAGGCCTGGTGTGGGCTTCTGAAACCTCAAAGCCCACCCCCAGTGGCACACCTATTCTAACAAGGCTACAATTGCTAATCCTTCTAATTCTTTCAGATAGTGCTACTCCCGGGTGACTAAACAAACATTCAAATATAGGAGCCCATGGGGCTATTCTTTCTCAAATCACCACCAACTTGTCTTTAAATTTATGGCCTTGAAGCACAGGTGAAAGTAGCTGGAGGAGATGTAATGTGTCTCACAGTGCCCTTCTTTGTCCCCCAACCATAAAGAACCACCATACTTCTTAGAATACAGTGTACAAATCATTGTAGCTGAGTGATCCTAAAAGCCAGAGGGGAAACCATAATTGAGCATAATCCATCCAACCACCTCTGCTAAAGGAAAGGAATTGAGCATAATGTTTCCATCTTGGTTTGAAGAATATGGGGACTTTACATTGTGAATACTCAGTTAGAGGAAGAAATGACAGCTGAATTGCATTCAGAGGGATTTCTGACATGGCTTTTTGATGCTAGCTTATGCACACCTATGAAGAATAGGCAAACTGCCAGTCTAAGACTGAAGTTGTTTCAGTTTTTCACTGGTAGACCCTGATAGGGCATGCCTCTTTACTGCGGAAATTTTCTTAAGTCACAGTGTGACTGCCAAACTCCTGGAGTTTTAAAACTACTCATGTTGAGACAGGTAGTCTTGCTCAGACTTTAGGCTTTTTTTGTTTTGTTTCTACAGACAGGGTTTCTCTGTGTAGCTCTGGCTGTCCTATAACTCACTCTGTAGACTAGGTAAGCCTCGAACTCACAGAGATCCACCTGCCTCTGCCTCCCAAGTACTGGGTCCAAAGATTTGTACCACCACTGCCCAGCCTGATTTCAGGCTTTTCAAAGGCAGTTAGTTGCCCATTAGGCATACTCCTGATCTACCAATTACAATTTCTGCTGTGGCTCTCTGCTGTCATTCTTGTGCTGCTGCAGAGGTGGTTGGATTATGAAGTGTATGGATTCCTGGAATTATTTAGACCACAGGGATTCCTGAGCTGGGGGAGATGATGGTCTGCCTTGTAGTTAAGTGACTAAAAAGGTTTGAAAGAGTCCACAGTGGGAATGAGGAGAACATTTCAGATCCTGGAGAGTCTTGAAAAAACATTTCCTAAAGAGAAATGTCTCATGGATAGGAATAGAAAATTCTGTCCTCAAGAAATTATTTTCCAGGCTGGAGAGATGGCTCAGAGGTTAAGAGCATTGGCTGCTCTTTCAGAGGTCCTGAGTTCAATTCCCAGCAACCACATGGTGCCGTATAACCATCTATAATGAGATCTGGTACCTTCTCCTGTACCCTCTTCTGGCCTGCAAGCATAAATGTATGCAGAAGACTGTATGCATAATTAATACATCTTTTTTTTTAACAATTTATTTAATTTTATTTTCTGTGCATTGGTACAAAGGTATCAGAATCCCTGGAACTGAAGATATAGACAGTTGTGAGCTGCCATGTGGGTGCTGAGAATTGAACCTGGATCCTTTGGAAGAGCATGCAGTGCTCTTAACCACTGAGCCATCTCTCCAGCCCCCAATTAATAAATCTTTAAAAAATTATTTTTCATCAACAAATGTGCTACATGTCATTTGTGCTGTTCTTGAACCAGGCAATAGCAGCTTGTGCTGTGCAGTGTAAGTGGCATTCTACTAGTTCATGGCAGTAGAAGATGCTGGGGACAAGAAGCCCAGCAGCCTCTTGCCACATGGTTTTTTCTGTTCTCCCTAACAGTGGTTAGTAGAAATAAATCCCCTTTGTTGAGCAGTATTCAACTAGCGAAGAGCTGGACAGTGTTCAGCTCCAAATGTTTTAGCATCAGAACAAGGCTATCTGTCCAGGATATTTGGAGAAACAATCTACTTGGTTAAACCTGTTTCTCATGTGAATGTGGACAAGTTCAGAAAGGAAGACTGTAGTATAAGAAAAATCTGATTAATGGAAAATAGTGAAAAACTTTTTAATTTTTTAAAAAATTAAAAAGCAGTGTCTCAGAAATGGGCCAGGCTAATCAGTAATTTACAGGAATGACCTGGAGAGCCCTCTAGTGTAGCTTTGTGGCATTCAAGTTTTGAATACTAGATGCTTTTGTTTTTGCTAATACCCGGAGTAGTGAAACAAGGGCAGCATGTTCCTTTCCCATTTGGTGGTAGCTTGAGTTTTAGAATGCTAAAGGCTTGCCACTGCTGTCCTAGATATTCATGCTAAGTGATGTCAACAGCATATAAGCAGGTATTTGGTAATTGGACCTACTCCCCTTACCAATCTGCTTTGCCAGCAGAGGAAGAGAGAGTGTGTGGGGCATGTGGGCCTGAGCAGACCCGAGTGTGTGTGTGCACATGCTTATTCAGTAGTTCTGTTGATTGGGAAAATACATTCAGGGGTCAACTAAATTTAGTTCCTTTTTTAACCCAAATTTCTCTGGAAAGCTCTTTTTGGTTCTTTGGCATTGCTGCTGTTTCTACTGGGACAGATTGTAAAGCAGTCTGACTAGGCCTGCCCTATAAGATAATAATGTTCAGTAGTTACTCCAGAATGGATCCACACTCACAAGTTGGAAAAATGTGGAAACAAATTGTTTGTACATGTGTATGTGAGTATACAGTGAAGCAGTCCCGGGGAATACTGCTTAGTGGTGGTAGGGTGCCAGAAGAGAGTTTTTGCTAAATGTTTATAGTCTTCTAAAATGCAAAATGAGGACCATTTGGGTCTGACAAAACACTGCTTGGGCTGGGAAGATTGCTCAGTCAATAGAGGGCTTACTGTGCAAGCATGGAAATCTCTAATCTGAGTATGGTTATGCAATACCCACATAAACACGTGTGGTGTGCACGCGTGTAATCCTAGTGCTGGGGAGGTGGAAGCAGGAGGACAGGTTCTTAGAGTTTTCTGACCAGCCGGTGTATCAGGGTCTATTTTAGACCTGCTCTTAAACTAGTAAGATAGTGGCCAGGTGGTGGTGGTAGTGGCAGTGCACACCTTTCATCCTAGCACTTGAGAGGCAGGCAGAGCTTTGTGAGTTCGAGGCCAGCCTGGTCTACAGAGCAAGTTCCAGGACAGCCAAGGCTATACACAAGAAACCAAAACTTAAAAAAAAAGAAAGAAAAGAAAAAAGCCAGGTGGCACACACCTGTAATTCCAGCACTCTAGGAGGCAGAGGCAGGCGGATCTTTGTGAGTTGGAGGCCAGCCTGGTCTACAGAGCGAGTTTCAGGACAGCCAGGGCTACATAGAGAACTCGGTCCAAGTAAGGTAGTGAACAAGGGTAACACTGTTTTAACCTCTGGCCTTGATATGCATCCCCCCAAACACACAAACACTAGAAGAAACTGCTGTCTTTATTGTTTGTAACCTGCTCTTACAAATGTAGGAGCTGAGCATGGCGGCACAAACTTTTAATTCCAGCACTCTGGAGGCAGAGGCAGGCATATCCCTGGGTTTGAAGCCAGCCTGGTCTACAGAGCGAGCTTCAGGACAGCCAGAGCTACACAGAGAAGCCCCATCTCAAAAAAAACCAACAACACAGGATTTAGTAGGAAGAGCTGGGATACAGCTTAGCAGTCAGGAGCTTGACTTGCTCAGGGCCCTGGGCTGGTCTTCAGCATGAGGCTAGGAGTGGGGAGTATAGGAAACACAGGGGTACCCTGTGTGCCCAGAGTGCAGTGAGGGTGTGGACAATAAGAGTGCTGGGAGTTGAAAGGCAGGCAAGCTTAGGATGGAGTTGAGAGCTTTAGTTAGGAGCAGAACAGAAGCTCTTTGGCAGGATTTTTGGGCTGAAAAGAGGATATTTATTGGCAAACTGGGCAGGTATTGATGACTAGTGTAAGTTAAAGGCTTGGGAGGTTATTCACTAGCTGGATTGGTTGAGGATAGATTTTGTAAGGGTGACTAGAAGGCAATAGAAAGAGCTTTAGACCAGAGCACAGAGGATCTTGTATTATCTTTGCTAGCCTTGTATATTTTGTCCTACACCTGGAGAACAACTGAAGAGTTTCATTTTAATTTAAAAAAATTTTGAGCCAGGTGTAGTATGGCACACGCCTTTAATTCCAGCACGCAGGAGGCAGAGGCTGGCAGATCTCTGCGAGTTTGAGGCGAGCCTGTTCTACAAAGTGAGTCCAGGACAGCCAAGGTTATATAGAGAAGCTCTGTCTTGAAAAAAAAAAAAATATTGTTTCAGTGTTATGCATATGTATGCACAATGTGTGTGTTGCATGTATGCTACAGTGCACATGTGGGGTCAGAGAACAACTTGGAGATGGGAGTCCATTTTTTCCACTGTGTAGGTCCCCAGTCTGTCAGTCTTGGTTGCAAGTGTCTTTACCCTTTATGCC